AATTTTAACTTGCTGATCTGTGGCGAATATAAACAATATACATCCATTTTCTTGTCTACTTCGTTTAAAGTTATTTTTCTTTCTTTTTTAACTAAGTACTGCGGACCTTTTAACTTTCTCTATTTTTGTTCTACAAAATAATAAATTGATGGAGGCTAGCACAGACAGCTTCAATTGGTGAAATGAGCAGAAGTTCTTTATAGAATAGCCGTAGATTGGTGCCATCTGAAGCAATTGTTTCTGAATATGCCAAAAATTGAGTTTTACAAATCATTACCAAAAGCTAGTTTCCCAAATATTTCATGCCTAGAAAATCAGGTCTATGTTTGCTTCCTTTTATTTATGTGTGAACAAGTGTTTTCATCTACAAACCTGAGAAAAAATCATTTCAGGAGTAGAATAACAGACAAACATTTACCCTTGTTCCTTAAAATAAGTACATCTCACTTGGAACCTTAATCTAAGGAACTTATAAAATTGAAATCGCAATTTCATTCATCTCATTCAATATTTACATTGAAAATTGCAAGTAGTACTTTTATTTTTATTTTAGATGTTTTTATTTAGCCTACCAAATTTTTTTTTCTTCGATTTTTGGCCCTCGACCTGAAAAGTTTGCCCATCCCTGCTCTACAGTGTCATGAGTAGGACTGGGCGATAAATCGATGCATCGAAAAATATAGATTCCATGGAATCATCGCCGATTGGATTGGAAATTTTTCGAAACATAGGAAATTGTGACATGTACGATATTCCCCGGTGTATCGTTGACATCGATGTCTACACGCGCGATGTTGAGCATTGTTTCCAACAATATATCGATGTCTGGAAGCTCGCTCGAAGAGCATTTTCCTCCGGCAGTGATAGCTGTGGCGATGATCGTTATCTTTCCCCGTTTTTTTTTTCTTCTTCATCGTGACTCATCGTTTTGCTGACTTGACGAATCCGAATGCGATTGAGAATCGAAGTGTTGTTGAATCTCTTCGTTATAGAAGGGTTTTCTTTTAATTATGCAAATGCTGTTGATCTTTCTACAATCAATCCAGCTGTTTAATGTTTTTTAACCGCTATTTCGCACACATCCACGTCTTTAAATATTGAGAATGCAACTTACTAATTGCGAATTTACGCAGTACTTAATGTAAAACATTAATGTACCGATACTTCGCGATGCATCAGAATATCGCGATGTTAGCGTGACGATGCATCGTGAAGCCAAAATCTTAGCATCGCCCAGTCCTAGTCATGAGTGCGTGTACCGAGAATACTTTATTTCAGGCATAACCTCTCGCCATGAACAACGTAGTGTCCATGAGAGCAGTGAGTCGAAATTCGGCTGTAATGGGATATGATACCAAAAGAATGATTTGAGTACCTTTAACAACACGACATCACATCCAGCTTTATACAGAAATTATAATTTAACAATACCATTTCCAGATAACAATTTGGTATCACGTTTTTATTTTATTTTAATAACTATCAAAAATTATTCTTTGTTTTTAAATCAATATAATAATCATAAAAACTTAAGTGAAATATAAATTTTTGGATAGTATTTATTTGTGCATAAAAAACAGCACTTTTCATTTACTGTAAGTATTAATATACATTTATATATTTATTTTAAATAAAAAACAATAATAAAAATTGTAAGCTAGTTAATAAAACCAGTTACAAAAATACAAATTAGTCAATGTTTCGATACAAGAATAAACAAAATAGAAGATAAATTTCATATTAGTTATTAAAGTTCAAAATAGTCATAAAAAATTAAATACGCAACTAAGTACTGAAACGCTCTTTGTAAGTTTTGAATTTTATTTTCTATTTTAAAAATTTAACGAAGAGTAAATATATTTTGAAAATTTATAACCTATAAGGGAATTATTACAACTATGTTATGACAATCACAGCAACTAAGTAGTTGAATGTTATTTAAGATGTAACGCAATCTAAACAAATTTTTTCAGTCCACTATTAAAGTTTTAACTAATAATCATAGCATTTGCTTGATAAAACCACAAGATTAGTATGAGAATTAATCAGAAACTTAACTCTATCATAACATGAATTCGAAAATTTTTGATGAAAACTTGACACATACGTTGAAAATTACATTTCTTTTCAGTATAAACCTACTGTGAGCAGTTGAGTATGCATGAGAATTAAAATGATCGAAATTGAAAATTTTAAATTTGAACGAAGGCAAAAAAAAATCTTGTTGTTATTAATGCAACTTGCTAATACTAGAAAGCCTGCTATGGGAATTCAAGCGATGCTTAAAGCAGAGGGTGTGTTTCTTGTTTTTTCTGTGGCGCTATCTATGGCGAAGAATATGACTTCAGCCACACACACAGGCGTCACAGTCCGTTTAACAGGAAAAAAACCATTCATACTCAATTCATTTACCCACAAATCGTCATTTTGACCTAAACCAAATAACGATCAATCACCAAATCAGTACTCCCAGAAGTATTGATTTGTTAAGGGAACTTTAAGGACTCTGTGACCGACAAATTTAGCGTGCACCAGTCACTATTTAATGCATGGGGATTCTTTTGCCGGCGGGATTCGAACTCACGAACATGAGCCCAGCACCCGAAAAAAAAAATCTTAAAAAACTTAAGCACTCTGCAAGAAGGTAACAAATTGAAAAGTTTGAGCTGCGATGGCTCAGGGGATAGAGCGTTCGCCCTTTCAATGCGGTGAACCGGGGTTCGATCCCTGCGATGGCTGGTCGATACAAATTCCACATCGGGCTTGCACCGACCACAGTGCTGACGTAAAAATATCCTCCTAAACCTGATTACGGGTTAGTTCCATCAAAAAGTCCTCCACGAAAGCAAATTTCTCCCAATACTTGATCCAGGAGTTCCATTGTCTTCTGGATTGGGTTCAAAATTACAAGGTTACGAAGTTAAACATTAGTATTCGTAAACCCATGAAATTGGGTATGGGTTGTTCAACGACGGTAATAAAATAAAATATAAAATAAAATTGAAAAGTTTCACAATCAACTTTCGAAAATTAACGTACATAATGAAATATTAGAAAATTTTTATTTTTTAGAATACTCTAAATCATGAGAAAAGTTTTAATCGATGAGAGCCTGCCAATTTCACTTAAGTGGAGTATTCGGAGTAGACAAGTGTTCATCTCTATATATTCAAAAAAATGGTATCGAGCTTTTTATTTTGATGGATTTGGATTTTTGACTCCCAAAATATGAGAAAAGAGAAGGCACGATTCGAGAAAATATGACCCCGATATGCAAGAGTAAACTTGATAGTATGACCACTTTAATGTTAATTTTATTTTTTGAATATTTCGATGCATCTCGGAAACTGTTTTAGCGAATTAAAATTACTTTAATTGCAATTTTAAGACTCATTTTTCATCAGGTAATTTCCCTAAAAGAACACCTTTGTATAAATATTCATTTTTTCATTGTTTTCCTTAATAATAGTCTTCTATTTTAATTATGAATTTTTTCCATAGTTTAAAGTATGCAATTCTGAATGTTAAAACAAAAACTGTTAGATATCTGTCGAAATAGTTTCCGAACAAACCGGTACAAAAACGTTGTTTAAATTTCCATTCCTGGAGAACTTGTCAACCATTTTTATTTTCAACCATTTCCTTTTTCTCGTATACATGACCACATTAAGAGGGGGGGGGGGAGCTACTGAGGCTGTAGCCCAAGGCCTCGAAGTTTCTTAAGTCCTCACAATGGAGTTCTAAAGTGAATGAAAGTAAAATTGATTCTTGAAATTTTCTAAAAATTTATTATTTTCAACCGTAATGTTACACCATATTTCTTTAGAGTTGTTGAAAAACGTATTAACTATAGATTTCGAGTGAAAAATGTGAAAAATATTTTTTAAAAAACTATATTTTTTGTGTGTTGTTTGCTTCTATCCCTCACTTGAAATCTTCTGGGGTATTTGGTTGGAGTAAATAAGTTTAGTAAAAACTAAAAATTCCAGTTTTTTTCTGTTTTTTCAATTTCTATGTTTGATAGTTCTAACTACTACACAATATTTATAATTTCATACAGGATATTTTTGCTGATATTCACTTAATCACATTTTAATTTTTAATGAGAACATTTTCGTGAAAAATTAAACATTTCAAAAAATTGCAAATTTGTTAAACAAGCTTAATTGTAATTTTAAGTTTAAAGTTGAAAGTTTCAAATATTTATGATTTCTAGTAAATTTTGGCTAATTTGGTAAAGATAGGGCCCCAAGTTACACATCAGCCCCATTATACCTTAATGCAACCCAGCTCGCGCAGAATCCTTTACTGTTATTTAAAAAGACAAATAATTATCATATTTACCCTAACACACTGTTTTAACTTGCTAGACTGTTAATGTTTCACAATAGCACACAGACATCCTGAAATCAAGAAAGGAGATGAAAACAGAGCAAGTACACTGTAAAAAAGTTTGGTATATAATTGTCACCTTTTTGGTGCGGAGGTAAACTGAATACATTTTTTTAAACACAGAACTGCCGATATGTATAAAATTAAGAAAGTAACAAATTTTTGAAAAGTTTAAAGCGAATATATAACTAAAAATTTGCTCTTATTCTACACGAAATGATTTTGAAATAAAGTCAATAATTTAATTCTAATGCGCATTAAAATATGTGCTTTTAGTAAAAAAAAAAGAAAAAAGAAACTGTAAATACATAAATTATAACAGTAAACATATTACTACCTTAACACCGAAAAATGGTGACAACTATACTCCCAAAATTTTTTGCAGTTTAACTTACATTAGATTAACTACGTACTGACGTGCTGTTTACAAATATAGCGTTAACTGTAAATCTTTCGCGAAGCACTTACGTTTTTCTATTTTATTATTATTATGCGGTAGTTTATTAGTAGTAATAAATGATAATTTAAGTGAACTTTTCAAAAATGTATGCTACGTCATTAACCAGGGGTCTGTTTAGAAGAAATTTGGGTCCGTTATTAACTGACCCTTCACAAAATATCTTTTCATAAAAACGGACCCTTCACAAAATAATTTATCTTTTAATCGGATCCTTCACAAATTTATTAATCTTCATTATTGTTTTGTTAATCAAATAAATCCTTCCCAGGAAGGGGGGGGGGGAGAAAGACAGATGTAAACGAACTAAATTTTGTCTTTGGCAGACGCTTCTTCCATTATTCGTTCGAAATTAATATTCTGCATTCAGCAGTATAGGCTAAATACCAAATATTTGTATGTTGCATCTCTAATTTAGTCTACAATTGCTGTTTATTTTCAAAATTTAATTTCTTTAATTATAGTTTTACAGTGTTGAGCATAATCTCGTATGTCTTATTATATATCTCGTATGTACAATTTAAAAACTCGTAAAAAAAGTTTTATTGCAATAACGGACCCTATTTGCACAAATTCACAGAAGCGGACCCTGGTTGAAAGAATGTGATTTAACGTTTATTTTATATTCATAAATTAGGAGTAATTTTTTCACAATTTTACCAAATTGTTATAATAATTTATCCACTAATGTATAATGTAGCGTAAAAGTATATTCTTTGTGCCATTTTATAGGTCATTAAGACTAAAGATTCGTGTCTAATTTAAAAAATCTGAAAAATGTGACAAATTATTCTACGCTACTAAAGAATTTAGCCTGCCGATTATATTTTAGTGACCCGTTAAAAAGAATTTCATTCAATTTAAAATAGCTATTGCTCGAACAAGACGTCTAAAAATGTCGTCAATTGACAATTATTTAAAATCATAACTAGTCAATGATAAAAGAAAAATTGACGAATTAACGCAGTCGACTGAAACGATGAATTAGACTAATTTCATCAAAGAACACATATCATACATATCGAATTCTTAAAGAATGCTTCGAATGCTTAAAGAATGACAACTGCAAATACTGATTGATATTTCTGTTTTAATATTGTAAAAAAAATGTTTTTTTGTGAAGTAGGAAGTGCTCGCGTATCAGGATATCCATATTTAGTTTATACTTCTAATCCTATTTAGCAAACTAAAAAAATTATATTTAGTAACCATTATTTTTAACAATTTTTAACAAAGTACTTTACTAAAAATATTAAAAATCATATTCAATAATTAACCGTTAACTCCTACTTGCTAACGATGTTTCACGTTACATTATCTAGCCCTATGTATTAGACCCATGAAATTTTATAAATTTACTGATGTGACCTTGAAAAGCAAAATATTTTACACCCTTTTACACGACGCAAAATTTGCACAAAAGTATATCTTTACATAATTCTTTCAAAATTACTCAAGCATGTAGCTGTTTAGATAATTTTTACAGCTTAAAAAGTAATTTTTAACTACTTTTTAAAAAAACAATAAAGTCACAAATAGTTCTATAAATAATTCAACTCTTTTATAATTTAATCTATTTTTCTATACAATTTTCCATTCATTAAAATGAACTTACTTAAACATTCATCTAAATACATCAACTATTTAACATATTATTGTACAGGTTTATAAGTTGACTAAATGAAAAATCAAAGCGCAAAATCCAGCGTAGCACGTACAGCAACCTTGTTTTTAATCGGGATTTGCAAAACCAAAAAACATTTCCACACGTCTGAGTATCCGCACGACTGACTGCGCGGTACGAGCAACTAAAGGAATATTAAGTCGTAACTCTGTCTATCTTACGTCACGAAACACAAAGACATTTTAAAAAAAAAGATACGCTTTGACGAAATTTATAATAATTAGGAGTTAGTTATGGCGCATGGCTTTCACTCGATTAAAAACGAAGCGACGCGTGTAAGTTTATGAGCATCAGATTCGCGTATGCATCGGGCGTGAATTGAAGACAGCTTTCTCTCACAAATCATCCTATCGTATCCAATTTGAGAGTTGACGTTTTCAGAAGGGACTTCCAACAACAACTGTTGTTTGTTCTGGATCAATTGATATTCTTTTGACAGCAACTGAATTGAGAAATTTCTTTTGGGGGTGATGAGTTTTTAATGGGAATAAACATCACCCTGGATGGCTTCAGGCAAACAATGCAACGTCTGAAATAATTTATAAATAAATAAAACGATACTTTAAAGAATCTAATTAATTTTGAATTAGGAGAAAATTTACAATCAGAACTCTAGATAGCAGAAAACGTAAGGTGTAGTTCTTATTAAAATGTTTATATATATAATATGTAACCTCTAAAATAATAGCTAAATAGAATTTAGGGATCAGAAAAACAAAACCTAAAAAGAATTATATTTTAATTGTAGATTTGCCCTTAACAGATGAGAACATTTAACAATCTCTTTCACCAGATAAAAGAACCACTTAGCGAATAAATTATTGTAAATTAGTTAGAATTGTAAATTAGTTAGGATTGTAATCTTTATTATAATGAATCCATACTGCGCAGTAAAATGTCTTCATGAAATCGAAATCCCATTCAATTTAATAAATGTTTTGAGATTGTTTTTTTTTTGCAATTGGTGTTTAAATAGGTTTTATTATTAAAAAAGTCTATCAATAAAGCATATTTAAATGTAGCGCAGTAGATTCTAAATTTCGAAGAAAATTTCAAAATAAAACATAAATACAACAATATTATTATTTATGTACTAAGAAATTTAGCAAAACATAAAAGAATAGCTAACTATTTCATAAATCTTCATCTAGTAATTTTGTTGAACTTCAAACTCCGAATCGGCCTCAAAACCGAAGGATTTATTTACAATATTTTCGTGTTTTGTGTTAATATTACTAGATGAAATGACCTATAAAATTATTAAGAACAACATTATCAAACAAATCTTTTGGTTTACTAAGAGTAACTCTTTTACACTCGTTAACAATTTGTCCCAATAAACATTGCTCTAAATTACAATGAAAAACTTGTATTCTTGTTATGTATGATATTTTTTTAAAGAAACTTTCGTATCGCTGATTTCATATCTGCAATTCTCTCCAAACTACTGTTTTTTTTAAAAAAAAATGACATTTTTTCCTATTTTTTATAGAAATGTACAAGTTTAAAAAAGTCATTTTTAACAGGGGGATCACATAATTGTTGTGACAGACTTCCGGGGAGATATGCCGCCATAAGCCAATAGAAGCTCTTCTCTTATATTATAAACTAAATGCTTCTGAAAAGGTTATAACAGAGAAGCTCCCCTAGCTGCGTACGACATTTTCAAGCATTGTTTCAAACAAAATTTTAATCCTGATAACCTACCCTAACTCTTCGAGAAGTTTGTCTCAACATTTACGCGACCCTCTGTTTTACATAACGATTTCAAACTTGTATATTTCGACAAAAAATGTCCAAGAAAAACTAATTCCAGATTTCAAATCCTCACACCCGAATCAGACAGGATCAAGTATTTATATAAATGCAACAAAAAATATGTTCCCCAGTGACTCAATTATCAATATTTGTTATATTTAGAGCTTTCTGACAACTAATCCTTCAAAGTTCTTATAAAAAACACAATCGAAATTAAAGCTGGATTATCAAAAAATAGGAAATGTATTAAAATAAACTTTGTATTTGAACGTTGCCCATAGATTTAATTTATAATGCAGCGCATTAACATTTAAAATTAAAGAGATTGTTTTTAATGAATACTTGTCAACAACATTTATGAACATTCTTCCTGTCTTATAATTCTAGTCGTTGTTTATTTCCATTTCCAACAAATGCTCCTACATAAATCAATTTCAATGCGAAATCATACTAAATTTTCAAATATTTTTGAAAATGCCCTTGAATTGAGCATCCGTATAAAACCGTAAATAACGTAGCTGCGTAAATTATCCCCCATAGCATTTGATCGAAGTAAACAATTAGGCGAATCATCAACATGAATCCATGCATTCTTTAATAATACTGCAAAGGTCTGATGCCCGTCAAGCAACAAAGATTAGCATTTAATGCCAAAGCATAACAATTAATAATCTCTACGTGTAGCTTGCCTTTAATATTTTACGTAAGTTTTTCTCTCTCTTTAAATCTTCATTTCACATTACTTTTGGGAAAACAAGCTAATCCTTAAAAGAGTTAGCTCTCGTCAAAGCAAATGAATGACTCGATTCGTATTCCAAACATGTTTTGAAGACACTTGGGTATTCAGTTACTACTTTAATTTATTTAGTTCTAGATATGGGTACGTATATTCTTATGCATATTGTATGCAAAATTAACACTAAGTTAAGAATTAATGGATTCATTAACGTTAAGGAGTAAAACCAATGAATCAAATTGCGTCTCTATTTTGTAAAGAATAATCTTCCCATAGTATGTGATTCGAATAATATGAATATGATAATATATAAAATATAGAACCTAAGGTTAGTAACATATTTTTATTAACTCTATTGTTAACACTTCTAATAAGA